AGGAGAAAAGAAAGTTGCTCAGTGATGAGTAACTCGCTGAATAGCCGAAGTAAAGCCATATACACCAGCTTAACAAAAGGAGAGGGGGTTAGGGCTTCATACATCAAAGTATGGAAAGTTCTGTTGGGCTTTTTGACGCTAATAGGCAGCTGGTTCCCTTTTTGGTGTTAAAAGTCAGTCATTTCCCAATCAGGAAAATCCCTCAGTGGGGTGGGCTGGTGGGAGTCAATGGCAGCTGTATTTTCAGGAGGCTCTGATTAAGTTTCTTTTTTTTTTTAATGTTCTTTTTATGGCTGATAATCAGATATTATTAGTTTAAAGTAATTTTCTTACTACCTTGGTGGGCTATTCATCTTTTCAGAACTATTACTCTAGTACCACCATTCTATTACTCTATATTATATGTATCAATATTACTCTAGTACCACCATGTTCCTCCTCGCCCAGGCTTAAAATCTCTCCTCTGTTTCCCTCCCTAATCTGTAGCTAAGTACCATCTATTCCAGTTGTGCAGTACTTTCAACATCTGTCCCTCATCTCCCTGACTGCACTAGTTAAACAAAGTTCTCCCCCATACATACTCTCTACCACATTACCTTATTTTTCACACGTATTTCATTTATCATGCATATCAGTACCTACAATTCTCTGTCTCAAGGAGAGCTTGGATTCTAACACTGTACCCCCAGATCCTAAAACACTATCTGACAAATAGTGGGCGCCCAAATATTTATTGACTGTCTCCCTCCACTTCCATCACTCAAGTTCATGCCTCTTAGCTGAAATCACTATTCTCACCATTCCCCAGACACCCTACAGATTCCTCCTGGAAAATCCTTAAGGCTCGGCTTGAACGCCAATTGCATGAAATCTTCCCTGTCCCATATAAGAGTGGTAATTCCATCCTCAGAACTTTCAGAGCATAAAGAGACATGACTTCTTTTCAAGGACAGTTAAGATAAACAAGGTCCTCCTGGATAGCATAGGGAACTGTATTCAATATCTTGTAATAACCTATAATGTAAAAGAATACATATATATAACTGAATCACTTTGCTGTACACCAGAAACTAACACAATATTGTAAATTAATTATACTTCAATTTTAAAAGACACATGTCATTTAATATCTATTTATTCAATACAAATTTATTGAACACCCTTCATGTAGCACTGTGTTAAATGATAGTAAGACACCATTCAGGCTCTCAAACAAGCTGCTCTCCAGGAGAAAGAAATAATCCTCTAAATAGGCAATTGTAAATCAGAGGATTAAGTGAACCATGGGAGGGGTAATTAATACCCTTGATCTGACTTGGTTTTGGATTCTGCTTTTGACTCCTTACTCTGTGACCTTGAGCAAATGACTTAGCCTTACCAGGTCTTGGTTACCATATCGTAAATGGAGATAATACCAGTGCCTACCTCACTGCCTTGCGATGAGAATTTAATTAACACTTGCAAAGTGTTGAGCAGGTATCCAGTATATAGTAATCATTCAGTAATGTTAGCAAGTACTATTATGACTAACTCAGCTTTGGAAGGTCTGGAGAGGCTTCTCTGAAGAAGTGACTTCAAAATGAAAACCTGAAGAATGAGAAGAAATTAAGGAAGGGAAGGCACGGAGGGAGAAGACATAAGGTTCCCAATAGAAAGAACAGTAAAGTGCAAAGGGCTCGAAGCTCGTTTTCAGTTTGGAACCTGAACAAAGGACAAAGTGTTCTGCGTCTTCGGCAGCCCCAGCCTCTGCTGGCACTAAAAGAGATTTCACACCTAAATTTCATTTGGCCCTTGATGGCAGCCATTGGTCTGCTTTCACTCCTCCATCACTGATCGGGGCCCCAGATAAAAACCCCTCTGTGTTGTGGTGGTGGTGGTAGGGGGAGGGGGAGGGGGAGTGATGAGTATGTGAGGGGCTCAGGCACCTGCCTCCACACAGGGCTGCTGGTTGGGCAGGCAATGAAACCAGTCACTTACTCTTATGCCCCCTCCTCTAGTCCCTTCCCTCCCGCCTCTCTACTGAACCCAGGAATCTCCATTGCATGGTAAGCAGACTCCTAAGTTTTACCCTCCATAGAACTCATCCTTTGCTTCCTTACTTTAACCGTATTCTAGGGTTGTTATGTTAATTCTCTCAGCTCCAGGATGGAAACGTGAGAAAGAAGGGACCACATTTTCCCAACTCCCTAATGCAGACTCAGGACCATTAACCCTTTGTGTAAAAAAGTCTTCTGAAGTTTATGCTCTTCAACGCTACCCCTGAGACCTGACCCCCCACCTACCAGTCTGACCCAAGTCACCGTGCTTCCTCTGCTCTGCACGTTTGGGCTATATGGGCATTCTTGTTCTTTCTCTGACCCACAAGCAGGTTTCAACTTCGGGGTTTTTGATCTTGCTGTTCCCGTAAGCCTGGAAGGCTCTTTCCCTAGAACTTGTTATGGCAGCTCCTTCTCGTCATTCAGGTCTTTGGCTCAAATGTCAGTTTGGAGAGGCCTTTCTCGACACCCCTCTCTAAAATATCATGTCCTGTCCCATTACCCTGCATAATTTTCTCCATAGAATTTACTGCCATCTGAAATTATGTATCTACTTGACTGTTTTCCCCACTAGAAGGTAAGTACTGGGAGTGATGAGATATTATCTGTCTTCATCTTTTATCAGCAGCACATAGAACAATGTTTTGCACGTTAAATATTGACAATAAATGAATGAATGAATATCTTAAATTAAGAGGCTCTAAATTTTAGTCAAAAGGTGTGGTCAATGAGCTCAGCCCTTTAGTATGTAAAAGCAGAAGTCCCAAAAGAAATCTTTGGGAATTTCCACTTACCATATCAGAGCCATAGACCAAGGACCATGAGTAAGGGTTTCATAAGAATCTGGAAGGTTTGTTTATTATTTACCAAGCTCCTGCTATGTGCCAAGCGCTGTACTCAGGAAAGGACCAAACGATGAACAGAAAAAGTCATGGTTCCTGCCTTTGAGAATTTGCAATTCAGTCCTTTCTGAGTTCCCTTGGATTTGCAGTAAACAGTGTTGTGCTGGAACCTGCTTTTAGCCACCTGCAAAACCCTACTGTTAAATTTTCAGGAATTTTGCAAGCCAGTTGTTAAACATTGCCATCATTAAAAGTCAAATTATATAAACTTACAAGTAAATTATGTTAAAAACAAAGATAATATACACTCAAAACTTTATGCCTAATTATTTTACTGTGTCTTACTATTTTTTATGCTCTTGAGGTTATTTATGTTGATTGTATATGTATGGTGGAAACATTATATAGTGAGCACCGTTTCCCAGCTCCATGTTCAGTGACATCACTATGATAGCTTGAAATGGTAGCTGTGGGGGAGTATTTACCCCAGGGAACTCGCCCAACACCATAATCAGGTCTTATCTACTCACCACCCTCACCCCCAACACACACTCCCAGCAACCTATCAAGGGATAGAGTATGTGTTGGCAGCCACTGAATTAAAGAGGCAGAATCTCTAGGTCGTCCTATAAAGGAAAAAGAAAAACAGAATCAGCTGGTTTGGACCTGAGGAAGGGTCCTAAAACTATGCTATAATAAGAGTACTACAAGTTTTAAAGTAAATTTCTAAAACTTAATTCATTCTTTTATGTAATTTCAGAATATTATCTTTAATAACTTAAGAAAATAAATTTATTTATTTTAGTTTTGGCTGCGTTGGGTCTTCGTTGCTGCAGGCGGGCTTTCTCTAGTTGTGATGAGCCCGAGCGGTGCGCGGGCTTCTCATTGCGGTGGCTTCTCTTGTTGCGGAGCACGGGCTTCAGTAGTTGCGGCACGCAGACTCAGTAGCTGTGGCTCGCGGGTTCTAGAGCACAGGCTCAGTGGTTGTGGCACACGGTCTTAGCTGCTCCGCGACACGTGGGATCTTCCCGGACCAGGGCTCGAACCCGTGTCTGCTACATTGGCAGGCAGATTCTTAACCGCTGCGCCACCAGGGAAGCACCTAAAAATTTATTTTTGGTAGGACTAACGTCCAGATTCCTGCAAGCCATTCCTGCAAGACACTAGTCATGGATAAGAACTTGGAATCTAGAGTCACATAGCTCTACCAACTTACAAGCTACCTGACTTTGGAAAAGTAAATTATCTTCTCTGATCCTGTAATCTCGTCTTTAAAATAGTCCCTACTTTATGGAATTGTTAGAGGGCTAAAAGTTCTTAGAACTTTAGTTGGTTATTGTTATTAAAATATTATTATTAAAACTTTAAGCAGTTACTTTCAGCTCTTTAGCCTCGCTGAAATTTAGAAGTAGTCCAGATATGTTGCTATGTTTGGTTTTTAATAACCAGTGCTCCAGTTATTCAGGTAAAGAATTTAAAACTCCTGGAGGGTACTTTGTAAATCCTAACCTTCCCATCTAAAATAGGTGGGTTACTATTAACACGCCCGGCCGGGAGAGCTCTAATCTAAGTTTGATCTCCTAGCCTTCGACGCCCAAAGGTGGGATAAGTACGTTTCCTGGACCTTGAGCTCTGATACGAAACGGAGCCAAGGGACGCCAGCTTGGTCTCCGCAAGGCACTCACGTGGGGTTGGGCCAAGCCCAGCCCAGCCAACCGTTCCGTAAAATAGGCATCTGCCCGGCGTGCCTCTGTGTGAGGACAGCCACCATCCGCGAGCCTACGTGTGCGTTCGCGTGTTCCGCTGAGTTCGCGAATTTTGCAGGAGCCGACCGCTTCCCGCCCAGGGACACACCTGTCCGTGACCGCACTCTTATTGGCCGGGCCCCGATCTTGGCCCTGTGGCGTCAGCGGCAGGGGCTTGTCCTTGGCCGGAGAGCCTGGGCCAGAGCCGAGTGACATCAGCGAGGGCGTTCGGGGCACTGAGCAGCAGTGGGCGGGGCTTGCCGGAAGGTGTGCCGGGGGCTGGTTGGGGGCGAGGCGGCGGGGCCTGGGCGGGGCGAGGCGGCGGTGACGTCATGGGGCGGCGCGGCGGGGCGCGGCTCGCGCGCCGGTAGGTAACCACTGCAGGCTGCGGTGCTCACCCCAGGCGGCGAGCCGCACGTAGCAGCCTCTCGCTCGTCTACGTCCTGCGCTGCCTATCATGTCCCTGAGGCGCAGCCTCTCGCTTCTTCTCCGTACGCAAGCGCTCTTAGTCCCGAAGAAGTCCGTCCACTCCGTGGCTGTCATTGGAGCCCCATTTTCACGGGGACAGGTGAGAACTGGGACCTGGCACCTTGGTGCAGGATTCCCGCCCCCTCACCCCCCAACCCCCTCACCCAAGCCTGGAGAAATCGGGACCGGTGGGAAGAACGGGGAGGCGAGGAGAGGATGGGGAGAAACGAAGAGGGGACGAGGAGGTGGATTCCCGCGATTGGGCACCGGGGGAGCACGTGGGATTTTCCTCGGTAGAAGGAGGGAGGGGATGAGGGCACCCGGTTTGCCACGTGGGCAGGGGGCAGCGGGCTGGTGGGGTTCTTCGGCCTTACCCCCGAGGAGCGAGAAAGTGGTGGGTTCCGCTTGGGGTGATGGAGGAGAGGAAAGGAGGGAGAGGATTTCATGGAGGGGCTGGAAGAGGAGAAACCGACCAGAATCCCCGGTGGAAAATTGAGGGAGGAGAGGTTAAAGAGAGGGACCGAGGATTTAAGGCTCCAGGGTCCATTCTCAGAAAGAGAATTAACTGGAAAGGAAATTGGTGCTTGCCTCTCTAGCGGCAGGAAGACGGAAGGGGCTGTTGTGTTCTCTCTTCAATGAAAGAAACCTGCAGTCGTGGAGAGGTCACTGGGGGAGAAGCCGGGGCTCGGCCCTGGCCTGCGACACTTACACCCAACAGCCAGATTCTGACTTGGCTCAGCCCCTTCCTCTATCTTGCCTCCACTTGCCCTTCCCACAACGAGGGGCTTGGAAGGTTGATCTGAATCCAGTGATTGTTGTTTCTCTTCCTTCCCTGCAAGTGTTTGAAATGACCAGACCTCAGGTGAAAAGAATAAAAGGAAGGGCTGATGCTGTCACAGGTTTTCAGAGGGATCTGCTGGGAACTAAGTATAGCATTGCAGACTTCTGTATTTTTGTGAGCTAAAGTGGTCTTATTTTCTAGTCATCTTCCCTCATGTCTGTGTAATTTATCTTACAGAAAAGAAAAGGAGTGGAATATGGTCCCACTGCTGTAAGAGAAGCTGGTTTGATGAAAAGGCTCTCCGATTTGGGTAAGCGGCTGGATTTTAGAAGTCTGAGGGCTGGTAACACGCCAGTTCAGAGTCTTATTCCCTCATATCCAGGAACTGCACAGCGTCAGCTGTGTATCTGGAAAGCATTTCCCATCCTCCCTTGGATTCCACATGCAGCTTAAGATCTATGGAGGAGTCTCCAGGCAAAGTCTTCTTGCAATAAAGAGCCTGTGTGGAAGGCAAGGAGGCGGAGTGAGGCAGGGCCTGGAACAAGCTGCTAGTGACTGCGAAGTGGTGCTGAGCATGCTGGCTCTCACTCCCACTGTGCAGTCAACCTTTCCCCAAAATTCTAGCTTTCCTAACTCAGTCAGAGGTGCTTATGATTCATCCGTCTAACCAGCTTCCTCTCTTCGAGTCATTCGTTTCCTCCTTAGGTTTAAGAACTTTCTATTACTGTAAGCAGAGCCTTAGGTCCGTTTTCTCCAAACTTCCCTGATTATGAAAATCACTTGGTTTACTTGTGAGAAAGAGAGACTGCTAGGCTTCTCAGCGGATGAGTCTGGTTTATTGGCTCTGACGTAGGACCCAGACACGTGCATTTTCACAGGCACCCCAGGTAATCAAAAGTAACGTTGCAGTCTTGTAATCTGGACAGTACTCTAAACGTACAGAACCAGAGGTAAATCCAACCCAGAGATAAATGCCATTTATATAGTAAAGGAAAACCTTTTTAGTAACAGGGTACCAAATTCCAACACCCTTATGGTAGGAAGGTTCTTATATCTAACCCAAATGTTCCTAGCTGCTGTTCAAGGCCATTTCCTCTATTTTATTAGGGCCAGTCACATATCTCTTCTGGAGCTATAAAGTGCAAAAGGCATGGCAGTAGGGAACTATAGGTCCTGGAGATACTAATACAGAATCTAGGTGAACTACAAATCCCCTACCCGTGCTTGCTTTGAAACCTCCTCTGCTGATCATTGAGCCCATTCCAGGGGTGGGTTACCTCCCTCTGAAACAGGAATAATGAAGTCACCGTGTGTCTTCCGTACACCTCTGGTTACGTATGGATGTGGTGTCTTGATTTGGATACTCAAACCTTTTCTGTTAAATAATAAAGAGACCCTACTGAGGAAGGAATAATCAATCACTTTAATAATTCTCCAAGTTTACCACCAAAGATGAGAGATAAGATTAACACTTAATGTGTCGCAGGTCACCTAATGGGAGGAAGTTGTCCCCCCTCCCCCCGCTTATAAATGAAGATACTGTCCCTTTAAATCAGCTGTACACATTGTTTTTAAAAGCATAATTTTACACTGAGGGAAAGCAATTTCTGCTAATCACTATTTTTTAATACCTGGTAATCCTGCAGCTCATCTGATAAACTGAGCCTGGCTTTGCTCAAATTGCCTGCTCATTGTTCTATTCTGTCTGAAGAGACTTCTGACTAGATTCAATTGTAGCCTCTTACACAGGGGACATTAATAGTATCCAGCCGAGGCTGCTGAATGAGGGGGAAGGGAACATTTATAAGCAGCTTCTCTTACTCATGCTTTGTACACCTCCTTTCCTGCCACAGCTCCTGGTATTTTTCCACTCCAACCTGGGGAAGCCATTCTCCCTAAAATTCCACTCCCTCAAATACTTCCTGTGTAAATCTCCAACCTAAAGTGATGATGAAGCTTCAGTTTATTTGGTCTCCCCTTTAATTTTTTTCAAATAGTTTTCGTTTTACAATTTATATCCTTACCCTGTAGCCGATTGGCAGTCCGGTATCACCAGCAGTCTGAAACAGAATCTCATTGCATGTTAATAAGATTGTGGCACTCAGCAGGTTTCCAGCATGTGGTTTCGGCTAATCTCCAGACATACGTTGGAGAAAAATACCAAGAGAAGTTTCAGTTGCTCTATTCTGAAACAGCATAAGTGGCATGGGTCAAATTTCAAGGGAGAGAAGACCCATGGAAAGGTAGCTCATAATTCCCTTTGTTCCTTGCCTTCTGCTCTGATGTCACAGGCTGCTGGTGTTGCCATGGCATCAGTTATACTTCCTGTTCTCTTGAATGAATATATTTGCCTTTGTCTGGGTGTTTCCGCCCCCCCCCCCCCCCCCGGGCTTAGTAAGGACACTCAATGGTTCCTCTCTCAGGTAACCACTTACTTTAGTATACAAAGAGAGCCTGAGAAAAATGAAGAAGTAATTGCTCTGGCAAGGCTTAGGTGCAGTGCCTCTGCTCATGATTCTGGTTAGCTCTTATAGCCACGGTAATTTGCCTTTTTTTTTTTTTTTTTTTTTTTTTTTTGGTTTGTGGGGCTCTCACTGCTGTGGCCTCTCCCGTTGCGGAGCACAGGCT